GTCAGTTCAGGGCCTGCGGAGCCGGGTGTCTACAGAACCGGGTCAGTCCAGGGACTGGACTCGTGGTGTTTTTTTAAATGTGTATTTCATTTAGTCCACTTCGTGCCTGAGTCCATCAGCCGGTTCTGTCGTCTGCACACGTTAGTGAGACGTTTGGCCCGGTGGGTCGTTCTGGACTGAGGGTTCAGAGAGCAGAATCCACAGGGGGGACAGATTTGAACTGGTACCATCCGAGTTCCTGGTGCCTCACAGAATAATCCTGTATCTGGCACGAAAAGCTTGGATTATAAATTGAATATCAAGAGAACCCAGAATGTTCTGAAAGTTCTTGTTTTGGGTCGGCACCGAGCAGCTCTGCTCCGGTTATCGTCCACACGTGGTTCTGCGTCGACATCTCATCTTCATGTAGAGATTAATTACGAGTTAATGGATTAACTGTGTGTGGGATTGACGTGCTTCGTTTTGTTCAGATTGCGGCCGAGCGACTAAAGGAGCTGCAGAAACAGGAAGAGGAGGAGCTACAGACCAACGCCGCGCTGAAGAAATCCACAGAGCAGCCGGCGACGCCCAAAACCTTCAAGGAGGGGGTGGGAAAGTACATCAACGCTGCTGCCATGTAAGAGACAGACAGACTGAGAGACAGACTGAGAGACAGAGACTGAGAGACAGACGGACTGAGAGACGGACAGACTGAGAGACTGAGAGACAGAGACTGAGAGACAGAGAGACTGAGAGACAGACGGACTGAGAGACAGAGACTGAGAGACAGACAGATTGAGAAAGACAGACTTGAGAGACAGACAGACAGACTGAGAGACAGACAGAGACTCAGAGACAGACAGATTGAGAAAGACAGACTTGAGAGACAGACAGACTGAGAGACAGAGACTGAGAGACAGGCAGATTGAGAAAGACAGACTTGAGAGACAGACAGACAGACGGACTGACTGAGAGACGGACTGACTGAGAGACAGATGGACTGAGAGACAGACAGACTGAGAGACGGACAGACTGAGAGACAGACACACAGACTGAGAGACGGACAGACTGAGAGACGGATGGACTGAGAGACGGATGGACTGAGAGACAGATGGACTGAGAGACAGACGGACTGAGAGACGGACAGACTGAGAGACAGACAGACTGAGAGACAGACAGAATGAGAGACGGACTGACTGAGAGACGGACAGACTGAGAGACAGACAGACTGAGAGACAGACACACAGACTGAGAGACAGACAGACTGAGAGACAGACAGACGCTGATCTCTAAGCAAAGGTTCTCGTTTGTTCATCTCTCCTCCTCAGGAAACGTTCAGCTGTGGACGATGAAGACGGTCCCTCTACGAGTGGAGCTGCAGCCAAGAGGTCCAAAGGGACGACGAGCTTCAGAGACTTCAGCTCCTGGTAGCTCTGGAGCTTTCAGGGTTCTGTTTTCCACCAAGTCTGACTAAATGCTCTCCTTCAGTTTTATCGTCTCATAAACATTAAAGATGCTTTTTCATGAAAAGTCTTTTGTTTTTGTGTTTCCTGTCTGTGGTTCTGGTTCTGAGCCCGCTCCGTTGGGTCTCCACAGACTGTTTGAAAAAGACCATGAAGCTGCCGTTCTGTTTTATCGTCACGCTTTTCTTTCTTCGGCCTTTTGACAAGTGAGATTTGAGCAGATCATGAAACACGGACTCGGCAGAACACGGCTGGGTGTTTCAGGGCTCGGTTTGAAGAAACTTCAGGTTATTTTATAAAAATCCTCGTTCATGAAACGGCTGAAGGGTTCATGTGGGTCCAGGTCCAGCAGAGCGTCTTCGTCTGATGCTTCAAATGTTTCCTGGAACCAGAAGCAGCTCGAACGTCCCGACAGTCTGAAGGAGACACTTCCTGACTCCATGTGGGCCCTGCTCAAGTTCTAGTAGGTGTTGCTGTCGTTTCATCACGTGTGGTACCTGAGGTGGAACAAAATGATGGACTCGGGGTCCCAGTTACATCCCACAATACCAGAAATATAAAGTGTAAAAAGAAACGGTAAATGAGGATCGGAGACATCAACATACGCTGAAAGATCTTAAATACACGCTAAACACTACAAGCGCCAAACAGCAGCACGAACATGAGTCTGAGCAGGTGAGCACAAATGAACATGAAACGGATCAGCAGCATGAGATCAGCAGCACATAAGCGCCTTTACAGTGATGATCCTGATTAGAGATACATGAGTCTAACAGCCTCAGGGTAGAAGCTGTTCCTCAGTCTAGCGGTTCTACAGGTGCTGGTCATAAAATGAGAATATCATGAAAAAGTTGATTTATTTCAGTAATTCCATTCAAAAAGTGAAACTTGTAGATTATATTCATTCATTACACACAGACTGATACATTTCAACTGTTTATTTCTTTTAATGTTCATGATTATAACTGACAACTAATGAAAACACCAAATTCAGTATCTCAGAAAATTAGAACATTATTTAAGACCAATAAAAAAAAGATTTTTAGAGATGTTGTCCAACTGAAAAGTTTGAACATGAAAAGTCTGATCATGTTCAGCATCAATACTTAGTTGTTGCTCTTTTACCTGGATCTCTGCATCAATGCATCGTGGCACGGAGTGGATCAGTCTGTGTCTCTGCTCAGGTTCTGAGAGTCCAGGTTGTTCTGATCGTGACCTTCAGCTCTTCTGAATTGTTGGCTCTGGTGCATCACATCTTCCTCTTCACAATACTCCATAGATCTTCTATGGGGTTAAGGTCAGGCCAGTTTGTTGGCCAGTTAAGAACAGGGATACCATGGTCCTTAAACCAGGTGCTGGTATCTTTGGCACTGTGTGCAGGTGCCAAGTCCTGTTGGAAAATGAAATCTGCATCTCCATAAAGTTGGTCAGCAGCAGGAAGCAGGAAGTCTCTAAAACTTCCTGGTAGATGCTGCTTTGACCTTGGACCTCAGAAAACACAGTGGACCAACACCAGCAGATGACATGTCCAAAGTTTTGTTCGCTGATTAAAGTAAATTTGCATTTCCTTTGGAAATCAAGGTCCCAGAGTCTGGAGGAAGAGGAAAGGCACAGAATCCATGTTGCTTGAGGTCCAGTGTCAAGTTTCCACAGTCGGTGATGGTTTGGTGCCATGTCATCTACTGGTGTTGGTCCACTGGGTTTCTGAGGTCCAAGGTCAATGCAGCCGTCTTCCAGGAATTCATTCAACCATTATTTATACAGGTTCATCCCATGGAGTCTTGAGTGTTTATTTCCACAAATATTTGGGTATCTTGGTCGACTCACATCTCTCTTTTAAGCTCCATGTGGAAAACTTGGTAAAGAAACTGAAAGTTAAACTGAGTTTCTTTTTCAGAAACAGATCCTGTCTAACTCTGAACCCTGAGGAACGCCTTGTATCTGTGACTTTCCTTCCCTCCATTGATCACGGTGACATTATTTACATGAACGCTCCTACAAGAACCCTGCAGATGTTGGATGCTGCAGATGTTGGATGCTGCAGATGTTGGATGCTGCAGATGTTGGATGCTGCAGATGTTGGATGCTGTCTGTCATGGTGCACTAAGATTCATAACTGGCTGTGACTGTAATAGGTTCAGTTGAGGAACAAGCTCAGCATCCTCCTCTCTTGCCCACAGTCAAACAGACATACCACCCTCCATTGACCCAAGGCTGTCCTGTCACACCTCAAATATTTTATCTCCCACCTCAGTCATGGACCCTTCTTCTTCTACATGTTGGTCTTCAACCAAATCAGAAGATGCTGATACCTCCTTTGCCTCCCCCGTCTGCGTCTCCAGAAGTCAGGTGAGGAAGCAGCTGGAGAGACTGAACCAGAATAAGGCTGCAGGTCCAGATGGTGTCAGTCCCAGTCCTGAAGGTCTGTGCAGAGCAGCTCTGTGGGGTTCTGCAGCACCTCTTCAACCTTAGCCTGACCCAGGAGAAGGTTCCAGTGTTGTGGAAAACCTCCTGTCTTGTTCCAGTACCAAAGAAAACTCACCCATCAGTCCTCAATGACTATAGACCTGTTGCCCTGACATCCCACATCATGGAGGTCCTAGACAGACTTCTGCTGACCCACCTGACTAGACAAACAAGCACATATCAGGACCCACTGCAGTTTGCTTATCAGCGTGGACTTGGAGTTGAAGATGCCATCATACACCTGCTTCAGCAAACTCACTGCCATCTAGAAAAGGCAGACATCACTGTGAGAGTCATGTTCTTTGATTTCTCCAGTGCATTTAACACAATCCAGCCTGATCTGCTTTGTCAGAAACTCCAGAAGACTCAGGTGGAGGCCTCAACAATCACCTGGATCAAAGACTACCTGACAGACAGACCACAGTTTGTGAGACTGAAGGGTTGTGTGTCTAACCAGGTGGTCAGTAGCTCAGGAGCACCACAGGGGCCTGTACTCTCACCATTCCTTTTCACTCTGTACACCTCAGATTTCCAGTACAAAACAGACTCCTGTCATCTGCAGAAATATTCTGATGACTCTGCAGCGGTCGGGTGTATCAGAGATGGACAAGAAGCTGAGTACAGGGAACTGGTGGACCGCTTTGTGGCATGATGTGGAAACAATCATCTCATCTTGAATGTGAACAAAACAAAGGAGATGACTGTAGATTTCAGGAAAATCAGGAACAGGTCCAACCCTATTTCCATCATGGGAGGAGACATGGAGGTGGTGGAGAAGTATAAATACCTTGGAGTTCACCTGGACAACAGACTGGACTGGAGATGCAACAGTGAAGCGTCTACAAGAAGGGACAGAGCAGACTGTACTTCTAGAGGAAGCTGAAGTTCTTCAACGTTTGCAGCAAGATGCTGCATATCTTCTATAAGTCTGTTGTAGAGAGCGCTGTCTCTTCTGCCATCATCTGCTGGGGGAGCAGCACCAGAGCAAGAGACTTAAAAAAGATCAACAAGCTCATAAAGAAGGCTGGCTCAGTTCTGGGGACTCCTCTAGAACCTCTGGAGATGATTGTACAAAGAAGGATTCTTCATCAAATGAAGAACATTATAGACAACCCTCAGCATCCTCTTCATCAGACTGTCATACAACGTCGGACTGTCATACAACGTCGGACTGTCATACAACGTCGGACTGTCATACAACGTCGGACTGTCATACAACGTCGGACTGCCATACAACGTCGGACTGCCATACAACGTCGGACTGCCATACAACAACGGACTGTCACACAACGTCGGACTGTCATACAACAACAGACTGTCATACAACAACGGACTGTCATACAACGTCGGACTGTCATACAACGTCGGACTGTCATACAATGTCAGACTGCCATACAACAACAGAGTGTCTTCAGTCAGAGACTTCTTCAGATCTGCTGTAGGACAGAAGCTACAAGAGATCCTTCCTGCCCATAGACATCAGCATCTAGAACAACTCTTTAATGGAACCAGGGTGATGAGTTACCACAACATATAATTTACCTCTGGGAATAATAAAGTAGTTTTGAATTTAATTAACTATATTGTACCCACCACTGCACCCAGTATTCACTGGTTAACTGGTCACCATTAACTTCACACAGACTCTCTCACTGGTACATGTTCATCTTTAAATCACTTCCTGGTCTGCTGCCTTCATACATCTCCTCCTACATGTCTCTGTGTGAGTGCAGCTACAGCGTGCGCTCTCAGGACATCATTACCTGCAGTGTTCCCTCAGTGAGGACTGAACTAGACAAAAGGACCTTCTCCTGCTCCGCTCCTGTTTCCTGGAATATCTTGTAAAAACATCTGAAGCTCTCGACCTTTGACCTCTCTAAGTGGCTTCAAACATGTGATAAGTTCCTGGTAAGAACCAGCGCAGATGTTCCTGTTTTTACTTTTCTACATCTGCTTTTAAAGTAGCTGTTTTTGTTGTTGTTGTTTTTAATATAATTTTCTTTCTCTTGTTCTTCTCAGTTTGTACTCGTCTTTCATGATTGTCCTCTGTTGTCATCACTTTGTTAAAATCAGGTGTGTCTTGTAAACGGGTCCCCGAGCCTCAGTGGGATTAACTGTAGAAACACAGGTTGAATGGAAAGTCCAGGTAGAAACATCCCACAAAGTGAAGTCTGGTCCTCTGGACGGAGGACCAGACTTCACTTTGTGGGACCTTCTTTACTGTGTGTGCATGAACTTCTGTGGTTTGTTTTCGCTGCAGACGCCATTGCAGATGACGCAGTGCGTTACCAGTACGTGAAGAAAAAAGGCTACGTCCGTCTGCACACCAGCCTGGGAGACCTGAACCTGGAGCTGCACTGCGACAAGGTCCAGTCACAAAAACACACAGCGAGCAGGGCCTTGAGCAGAACACTACACGTCTGCCTTCAGGTGCAGGATTAGACAGGAGCAGATTCTCAAACGCTGTTTCACTGAGGTGTGTGTCGTGCAGCAGCAGTCTCTGGGTCTGGTTTTCCTTTTAGAGCAGCAGGTTTGGGTCTGATGGGGTTTAAAAGATTCACACGGAGCTGTGCA